AAATTTATTTATATATATATTTTTTAGTCCCTAAATTTATAATTTTTAGACTAAAAATGTGCATATATCATAAATTTAGGAACTAAAAATGTATATGTTTTGATAGAATTAAGAAATTAATTGATGGAATGACAAAAAATATGCATTTTTCAATGTTGGTGACAAAAAAATGCAAAAAAAAAAAAGAAAAAAAAGAAAAGCTATGGGATGAAATAACTATCTTTTTAAAGATAAATATTCACTTTTTATCATATTTATAAAAAATAATTATCTTTTTCATTTAAATAGTTATGATAAATCTTAACTATTAAAAATTAATAAATGAATAATTCAGGATACCATTATTTGCCTAAGAATTTTTAGAAAGTAAAGTAGAGTAAAAAGGTAGAAGAATGTGGGAGAACTTGTTCCAAGTTGAGCAAAATGACATATTCTATTTAGAAAACTCATAATCACATAACTACCAGTTATAAATTAATGATAAAAATAAATTGAGTAATTTTTATGAAGTAATGTACTTTTAACTACGTAATTGGCTTACAATAGTTAATTTAATCAAATTTTTAATAAAGTAATAAATTTAATTTATAAAATATAATATTTTATTTTTATTAAAATATTTAAATTCCAATATATGGTGCATTATAAACATTAGGAAATGTAATACTTAAAACAAACTGAGTGCAACGACCAAAAAAAAAAAGAAGTTGAGTGCTTAAAATATCACTAAAATGCCATGTTGCTTCAAGGTATATTCTACATGCTTAAAGAAGAAAAAGGAGAAAAACTCAATATTTGTTAGTGCTGAAAACATCAGTAACATCCGATCCAGTGTTTTAAGAACTGGACCAGATCGACCGATTCAATCGATTAAACCATCACCCGATAAACAAAACAGGTCAGGTGGACACCCAGGCCTGTTTAGACGATCGGACCATCCAAACCCGGAGAACCGTCTGACCCGTCCCACCTGGTAGACCCTGTAAACCCAGTAAATCCGCCGAGCGAATTCTTCCACGTTGGACACTGTAACTTCGTTTTTTTTTTTTTTTTCACGATTTGCCACTTTTCCACCACAAAAAGCAAAATATGATAGTTTCTTCTTCACTCTCCAATCCAATCTCCATTGCTTCTGGCTTTTTGCTATTCTGCATTCTTCAATTTCCATCACTTTTACAGACATATTGACAAAGAAGAAACCATAAGGCAGCAGATCGGGCAGTAGATTGCTTCTCCATCGCTTCTTCAGATCTGGCAGTAGATCAGCTTCTCCATCACTTCTCCAGATCCGGTAGTAGAAGGTAGCAAATTAGCCTTCATCGCTTCTCCATCGCTTCTCCATATTGGGCGGCAGATTTGTAGCCAGAGCATCACCTCCACTGTGCCTTCATACACCAGCCTTCACCGTTGATTTTAGCAAAAATCTCCCAGCAAAAATGTAAAACACAACAGCCACTTAGCAAGTGGAATTGTCTACCCTTTATTTGGAAGGTTAAAATATTAATTTAATTTAAAAATTTTTAAATTTATAATAAAATTATCTTTTAATTTCAAGAAATATTAAAATTATCATTAGACCTTAAATTCCCTATAAACTTTAATTACTAAAATTTTCTTCAGACGCTAAAGATCAAAAACAAACAAGAAAAACAGCCCCAACACTTTTCCATAGTTTCCATTGTATTTTTCCTTTTTGCCCATAAAACGAAATAAATAGGAAATGTAGTACTAAAAGTAGTACTCACTGCTCAGTCTCCGAGTAGATTATTTCGAGTGTTTTTCTTTGACTGTCACAGCGCACACACACCACGTGATTTTATATATAATTTGTATTTATACTGTAATAAATGAATAAAAACAAACGTACAGCACTTGTTGGTTTACTAGTCATCCTATTCCGAGACGTACTTAGGATCAGCGAAACTTAAGTTCAAATCTCAAGTTTTTTTTTTTCAAAAAAAATTTTATACTGTTCAAAAGAAAAATAAAAACAAACAAAAAGACAAATTTTTAAAATGAAAATAACAGAAGAAAAGCTCAAAGCAACAAGAATGAATATGGAAGGAAAAAAAAACTAAAATGAATATGAATAGGGATTCATATATTATAAGATAGGTGGTATATTAAAAATATTTTTAATAAAAATATTTTTATTTATATTATTTTAATATATTTTAATAAATTTATAAAATAAATTATATTTTTAATATACAAATCAAGTCTAAAAACATTTTTTTATATGAATTTATAAGCAGACTTATTTTTCTCTCTCCTTCCTCTGCGGAATCATCTGTCTGACTGACACTCTTCTTCTTTGCCACGACGCCGTTTATTATTTCTTCTCCGTTTCCAATTCTGGGTTTATTGTTTCCATCGCTAAGAGCATCTTCATCTGGTTTTCTCTCTCTTTTTTCGTTTTTGGTTATTTCTTTTGGATTTGAATCGGGTTGTTTTTGTTGTTCCTCGAAGACTCTCCTCCGTCTTCACATTATGTCATTGTTGTACCTCAGTCACAAGATCAAATAAAATAATAATTAATGAATTTATTAAGAAATACTGATAAGAAAATATTATCTAAATAAACGTGAAAAGTTTACTTACTTTAAAGTGATTCACGCTTCTGCAGAGAGTAGATCAACCGGTGCAGTAGAAATATATAAAGTGTGTCACCCCCGAAATACTATAATTTTATAATAATACTCTATAGATCTGCACTAACCATAGAATTACCTTACTCAAAACACCTTTATTTACCCAAAAATATTTAGAAAATAAAGTGAGGTAAGAAAGAATAAAGGAATGTGTAGAAAAAACCATCTTTGAGCAAAAGACATATCTTATTTATAGGACTTATGGTCTTGTAATACCCATTTGTAAGTTTATGGTAGGAATAAATTAGGCAATTATTATGAAATAATGTGCTTTTGAATAGGATAATGAACCTTCAACGGTTAGTTTGATCAAATCCTTAATGAGATAATAAATTTAATTTATAAAATATATTATTTTTTTAGTAAAATATTTAAATTTTAACAATTTTTGGTTAGATCTTTTTAGAGCGTTGTTAATTTGGACATTAAGCTTTTCATCAAGGATTTTTATGATATTTTTTTTTAATTTAGGTCTTTATATAGCTGTTTCGAGAATTTGGATTAGATCTTTTGAATTTGTTCCCTTTTTGGATTTCTGAGTGTTATATTTTTTAAGGATTGAAGATGGAGTTTGGAAATTTGGTATTTTTATGCCTTTGGTAGATGCAAAATTCATATTCTGGGAATTTTATATATTTTACAGTACTCTTCTCATTCCCTCTCTTCCCATGCAGATTACAATGGAAAAACTGACACACGTATGATTTTGGTTGAAAATATGTAAAAGAAATATTAAACTAATAATTTAATAAATAGTACCAATGCTCTATTGGTTCTAGTAAAATGAATTTGATTTTTTTTAAATAAAATATCAAGTTTAAATATTTTGATACAGGAAATAAGTATCAAAGAAGTTTCTTTTAATAGCACCCAACGTGGTTACTGCATATAAAGATGTTAATATTAAAAAATAATTTAATAAATAATAATAATTTTATAGTATTTAATTTTATTTTATATTTAAAAATTAAAATTAAAAATATAATTAATTTAAATTTTAAATTTTAAAAATTAATTAATTTTAGTAAGTGAGTTTGAGTTGATCCAACTTGACTTTAATCTAACTTAATTAGATCAAGATAATTTCACAATTGATTATATCATATTCTGAATTAGTATTATAAATTTATAACTCCATTCATAACAAGTAAGTTGAGTCAAATTTTATAATTGAATTTAATTTTATTACGTCTATTTTGTAAAAAGGAAAATAATTATCTTATAAATTTTTTATTTAACTCTAGGGGAATATGGACAGGGGAAAATAAAAACAAAAATTAAGAAGAGCATTCTAAATATTTGTTGAAAACTATTTAACATTCTCTCCTCTTTTAAAGTGGAGTAAATTTAAGGCCAACTTTAACCGAAAGTTGTACAATGTAATTTAATAATATTTTAGTTTTTTAATATGTCTTTCTTTTAATTTAAAAATATATATAATTTTCATACTTTAATTTCATCTATAATTCTGTCTCCAACAAAGACCCGTGTAACGACGTATTCACTCTGTTTATAGAGCAACATGAGTCAGTATGAATACATCATATATATTTCTATGAAAATTCCTGTTTGCAAAAGAAGGAAAAAATATATTGCTTTATGTGAAGAATGAAGAATCTAAAGATTAGGGTTTTTTTTTTTTATCTTATATCTCTAAGTACATATTAAAAGCATTTTTTAACATTAATTATTATTAAAAAATAAAATCTGACTTAAATTTAATTAATTATCTAATTAAAATAATCTATATAATATTAATAATGAAACTAATGTCAATTATTGTCATTTTTATACTAATTAATATAAAAAATATATTAATTATACTTTTAGTTATTTTTTAAAGAAATCTATTTTTTTTTTTTTAATGAGCAAAACCGAGTAACAGGCCTTGACATGATAAGCACAATTAACCAATTTTTATGGGAACAAATGAATGCACGCTTCCATGCGCGTGCACCCGGTACATACATATAATACTGTCTCGAGATGCAATGCAAGATATTGTTGATGGTTTCAACCAATAAAAAGGAGGGGAGAGTATTTCAAGTCCATTTTACAATATAAATTAGTTAGAGAAAGACTGTCTGTCTCCAACAAAGCCCCGTGTTTCCCGAATCTTCACATGTATAGAGCAGACGCTGTGAAACGAAAATATTGCTTTTGGTGAAGCATCACTAGACTATGCTTTTTTTTTTTTTTTTTCACGGTAAAAATATGATTAATAAATTAATATTTTTGAATACTAATCGAAAAATCGATCTATTTTATTTTTCATACAAAAAGACGTGATCACTTAACCTTTAGATTATGCATTTTTCAAGAGTACAAGTGGGCAACTGACCTTGATATGCCTGATTAAACAAAGATGAGTGCCATGTCCACTCAGTGTGAGTCCGCTACGCACAAGCACTTTAATTATTTTTATTAGCCTATTTTTCATTTTTTGATTAAAATAAAATTAGTACACTTAGGCCAACAAAGGCCTGAGTGCTGCATTTAAAACATATTCACCTGCTTTGGGGCCATTAGAGCCGTTGTGAAAAGAAAATATATCGCTTTCGGTGAAGATTATGCATTTAGACACTTACTAGAATATTGGTATACTTTTTGATTTGATATAATAAATAATATATTTATTAAAAATTATTTTTATATAAAATCAAAAGTAAATAAATTTAAATTTATAATTTTACATAAAAATAAAAAAACTGATTGAATCGAATTGTATTTATATTATATTATAATAATTAAATCAGATAAATGTCAAATAATATATTGAATTAAGTGGATATTAATATTTTTTTTAATTATTTTTTTAAGAGCACAAGAATTGATGCTTCACATGTATTGTAACTTTGAGAAAGAGTTGGTGAAAGTTTGGAATCTTTGGATTTATCATTGTGTTCTTAAACTAATGGTGGATAAAAGTGAGCTTCAGTACATATCCTTTACTAACATTAAAAATGTAAGCGTTCTGTAGTTCATGAAGAGTTTTCTGAACACTAGACGGATGGATACATACAACAAATGGATATATCCCGAAGAAATAAGAAATTAAAATGGTTAATTAATTAACGTATATGACTGTAGCATATATTAATCTAGTAAGTACATCCATATATAAAATTTGAGACACTTCTTGGAGATAATGTTGTTAAAGATAACCTTAATGCAATCCTACCTTCCTCGCCTTGCGTCAAGACAATTTTGAGGCTGCTGCTCGCCTCCAATAGAGACAATCACCATATGCAAAACCTACCCTCCACCTCAACAAGAGTTAGCAGTCAATGCCATTATTTGTTATTTATTTACAATTGGATGCTCTTGGAGTACTAGAGTTTTCACACACTTTAAAATTAATTCATTTAGAGTGATTTTAGTGTGCAGCTTTCATATTAATCTAATACATGAAAAAAAAAATATTATGTACCAACCCTAAAATATATTTGAACCCTATCTATCATCATTGCGTGAGTCATTTGACAACAATATTTTTATTGTTTATCATAATTTATAAGTTTTTGAACTTGCCAACAATTGACCTCCCCTAGATATGTCCATCCGTTGGACGGTGCTTGCTTATTAATTTTGGAGCAGGTAGGATCAGAGTATATTTTATTGGCTCCCAAAATGCTCCTAGTCAAATTTGGCTTGTTCTATACATTTTAGATTAATTCAATTGGGTGTATACTAAAAGTATTAATTATTCATACATTTCATTAAAAAAAATTCCATGGAGGTGTGGGCCTGTGGTTACCAAGCAGGGACGCCTCCCCATTCCTTCCCTCCTCCTTGGTCCCCTCCATCTCTTTTGCACTTCTTAGTCATGACACCGTGCAGGTTTCTCAGCTTGTCATGAATAGGGCTTTTCTCTTCCCTTAGCACAACAGATCTTACCTCAATACAAGTGAATCAGTACATGAAATTTAATCACTCCAACTTCTATGTTATTAAACTTGTTTATGTTAATTTAATATTGCTAAATTTTTAACAACCATAATTAAAAACCAAAAACAGCAACAAAATTAAACAAAGACTTGTATCATTATAATTTGCCCAATAGGTCAACATCCTACTTAAAATTAGGAATTATTTTTATGAGATACGCAAAAGTTGACGAAAAAATACTATAATTGTTCAAACTATTTATAAAAAAAAAGGAGAAAAAAAGAAAACCCATTTTTTGACCTCTCTTAAAAATGTTGGTTTGATGGTAGGCCACTAGAAATCCTTTTCTGTTAGGGGGCTTAGAGCCTGTTTGGTGTGGCTGGTCTTTTTTTAATAGAAGTTCTGTTAGATGGAATTTGTTGTGGAAGGGCTGTTTTTGAGAAGTTAAAAGTGTTTGGTAAAATTTTTTATAAAAGTACTTACAGAGTAAAAAGTTGTTTGGTAAATTTTTTTATAAAAGATCTTTTAATGTTAAAATGACTGAAGTAGATATTGTTTATTTTTTTATCACTTTAATTTTTTTTTATATAT